AAGTGTAAGTAAACAAAATTGGTAATTTGAATAACATGTTAATAAAATCAATAAGCCAATATTTATATATTAGGTGATCCAGATAATTTTATCACAGTAAATCATATAGTTACTTCTAGTCATATTCAAACAGAATTAGGTTTTTATTTGCATATTTTACATGAGATAAATTAATTAAGTACTGGTTGAATATGTAAAAAAAGTAATAAAGGATTTGCTGTAATAAAATTACTAAATTACTAGAATTAAAAAGAAATAAAAAAGCTGTTTGATCAATCCTTAAATTCATTCAAAATTACTAATGTTTTTATTACCTATACTTATTCAAAATAAGTCGAAATAAACATTTTTCAACGACACAAAACGGAAGGCATAAATATCATAAATAATGCATTAGTGATGTGCATTCGACCCTTGGTGTCAGTCGACCACAATAGTGGACCTTTCGACCTCTTTTGTTCGAATCGATACGAAGTTCCCAACGATGAATGAATTTTCATAACACACATAGATCGAAATCGAATAAACAAAAGTAAAACTGAACACCTGGGTTTAGACAAATGGGTAATGAATATTATTATAATCGAATAATCGATCGAAAATAATCGACTACTAGAATAAAATTTAGCACTTTCTAATTGTGACGACAGAATTTTTTAAATTTTTTCAATACCCTTTATTCTAAACTTTGATGAATATATATAGAGTATAATAGCAAATTTTTAATAGAAAATTGTTTTCTCACAAACCCTCAGTGATAGAGTTCGGTTCCTCTATTTTTTTTTACCTTGTATATTTTTTTCGTCCTTCCTTAAATCGTAAATAAAAAATGGTTTGCTGTGCAGATGACCCAATCTGATTAGAAAAAGTCCAAGGCGATTTTTATCTAACATCGATATTGTGTTTTTGTACGGATTTCCTACCAGGGGTGAAAAAAGTAGAAAACATTTTTTTTATAGTTGTACAAAAGTAAACACGGGGTAATAAAATTCGCCAAGGACGGAAGACGTAAATTTTCATTTAAATGTTTAAATAAACCTTGATAGATTTCAAGAAAGATTTCGAACTGAATTGTTGAAGAAATTTAAGAATTTTCTAACAACAATATTTGTAAGTAGACGGCAAAAGTTGTTGAACCTTGATTCTTACAACGTGGTTATCAGGAGATAAATAAAAAATGTTTGAAAATCCATAACAAAAGTATATTCTTTCGTCTTTATTTATTTTGGTCGTGAGCACTGTTGTTTAGTTTACGAGACCTGAATATAATTATCAAGTATGCGTTATTTAAGATGTATGGTTAATTTCAAGTTAGTATCAATAGTTTTTTTCATATAACCTTGATAAAAGCTTACACCTGGTTGGAGTAAAAAGGACCAACGAAACCTTTACCTTGGCAAAGGTGTAAACAATAAAAAGTAGTGAATAGAAATGTAAATTCAGTGAAAAAATGGAAAAAGATAAATAAATTTAAAAAAAATAAATAAATAGTTGTTGCATCTCTGCAATACCAGATCAAGGATTTATAGAGAGACGTCTTTGTAAAAGATGTACCCATAAAATTCATATTTTGCATTGGTTGAATAATGTAGCTATTATTTCGTAAAACTTCTTCAAAATTAAAAATAAAACATTAGATCTCTTTGCGCCCCTGGCCGTCCCTATTTACTCTGCCTATGAAGTAAAAACGACAAAGTGACAATTTTTTGAAAAACAGCAAAAAAACACATTTTTACAATGACGGATTAAGCTGCGAGTTTTACTGAACATAGACAAACAGTTGTCTGTTCGACATGTGTTATTTATTGGTTAATATAATTGGATTGGTTTTCATAATATAATTGTTCAAAATCAAATTGGGCCTTTATTTCCCGACCTACCCTATCACAAACTAGTCTCAGGTTCGATTTCAACTTCGGCCTACTCGATATCAAGCAGTACTTCAATAATGTTATATTCAAAATTTTAAACATTACTAAATTTCAAAAATTGGTTTTATTTATACATATTCTAATTTTCAAAAATGTATATAGAATTTGTAAGCACACTAGATAGAAAATAAATAATTTATTGGCAAGAGCCTAAAATAATTTTTTGAGCCTTAATTTGCTTATAAATACTAATAGTATCTAATGGATACAGTATCTATTGATTTATAAGTATCTAATAGATATAGTATCTATTTATTAATTTATTCATAAGCTAATTATAATAAATAAATATTATTAGTCTCCTGCTAATAAAATATTAATTTTCTATGTAGTGTACTCACAAAATTTATATACGTTTTTGAAACTTAGAATATGTCTTAAATAAAATCAATTTTTAAAACTTTGAAAACTCAACTATAATATTATAAAGTACTGTATTTTTATATACGTTTTTGAAAATTAGAATATGTCTCAAATAAAATCAATTTTTTTAATTTTGGAAACTCTACTATATTATAAAGTACTGTATTTTTATATACGTTTTTGAAAATTAGAATATGTCTTAAATAAAATCATTTTTTAAATTTTGGAAACTCTACTATATTGTTATAAAGTACTGTATTTTTATATACGTTTTTGAAAATTATAATATGACTTAAATAAAATCAATTTTTAAAATTTAGAAAACTCAACTATAGTATTATAAAGTACTGTATTTTTAATATATAGTGTACAACTCTACATACATATGATATAAAACAGTTATTATATCCTTAATATGTCCTTATTATATGTGAAATGGACCAATAGTACACTCTAATAGGGATGCTGCGCACTAAAGTCGCGAATCGAAATCTTTGCTCGAACAACAATAGGGCGTTCCCTTCAATCTTTATACATTATATTATATTATATATAATATTATATTATACATCGATCACACACTATACGGTTTATCGCATAATACGCTACTTTGCGTCGATCCTTACACTTTGAAATATATTGCATAATACGCTTTCTCGCTTAAGACGGAATTTTGGTCCAGTTTCTGGAAAATCGTCTGAACAAAGTTCTATGAGCTATTAAAAGTTATCTTGATATATTACATTTCTGAAAACGGTTCAGGCGTTTTTGGGAAAACGTCGATCGAATGTCTAATTTTGACAAATGACAAAAAAACGATACCTATTTTTGCAGAATTTGACGAATTTTTCAAATTGAAGAAATCGTAGGGCCGTAATATTTTAGTATGATCTATAGGTCTAGGGTATCTACCGTCAAAAAAAATTATAAAAATCGTCAAAAAAAATTTTAACACTTTATTACAAGAAAAGGACTCGGCCGATCTTTTCTAAAAATTAATCAGCACCAACCAATCCAACCGTTTTTGAGAAAACGTCGATTTACGGCAAAATCTGTTCACATGCACACACACACATACTTTTTCCAATTGTTGGTCTCATTCGATTCAGAATGGCTTGAAACGTTGAGAAAACATAAAATTAGCGAATCGGATTTTTTTGAAAACATAAACTTCTCCTTCAGTAAGTTTCCTTCAATCTTTACATTAGGGGTCAAATGGCAAAAAAATAAAAAACAATATTATTAAAAAACGACTAATCTCCTACTGAGTCTGATTCTTTTGCATGATAATTAAAATATTATAATTTCTGACACTCCCTGACCCTTTTACCTTAAATGACTTTTTTGTAAACCTCAAATATTATAACATTAGCTTATAGATCATTATCTCTATTGCGAAGAAACCGCCCGGCCGATCTGTGCCAAAAACTAATCAACACGATTTCCAACAAATATCCTTCGAACGATTTTTAAATTTTCAAAATCGGTTCAGTATTTTTGCAAAAACGTAGCCAAATAATGTTGCATATTTCTGCTATACTCAGAAAAAAAACTGCTCACCGATCGTCTTGCAAAACTATAAAGCGAGTTTTTATTATGTTTCATGGATGGCATTTACATTTTTGAAGTCGGATTTTCTTCTGAAAGTAATTATGGTAAATTAAAATGTTATTTCTTCCTGAAATTTATAGAATATATTTAATATAAATATATTCATTATACTAGCCAGTTCATTTTTCATTCTTTAGGTCAAAAAACGGTACAATTCCTATTACCATATTGGTGACTCAAAATATTTTACAATGTAAATCGTTTAAACAAAATCAAATCAAATGCATATTTATGTCTTACAAGAAAGTTTAAAATATTCTTTTTGTTTCTCGGATTAGCATTTGACGTCGAAAAAAAACTCCATTAATTTTGAATCCATTAAATTGGAAGAGCCAGACTTTTGCACGTGCTCTACTGAATATTTAATAGTGTGAGAGAATTTTTTACTTTTGGGACCTTTTTTTTAAAAAAAATGTAGGATATATATATATATATATATATATATATACTAGCATACCCGGCCACGCTATGCTGTGGCTATTATTAAAATCCATCATTTGAAATTACAACCTTAAGGAAATTCTAAACCTTGAAGAATTTTTAAAATTTAAACGCTTATTTTAGGCCTATAACATTCATGTTATTTTAAACTACAGAATTTTCAGTTATACAAAGTTTCATCAAAATCATAAATATTTTTTTTATTAAATAATAAGAAATGGTCCGGCAGATTTTTACCAATCAGAATCATGTCCAACCAATATCTTTCAAAAAGTTTCTAAATTTTTAAATCTTTTCCGGATTTTGGAAAAAACGTGGTCGACGAATTTGACACCATTTTGCTAATTTCAAAAAAACGTCTTGGAAGATCTTGGCAAAAAAACTAAACAATGCTATTCCCAATCGAGATTCATCAAATTTTGAGAAAACGCCGAGGAAAAGTCAAATTTTGTCCCACATGTATACACATACATTTTTCCAATTTTTTGTGCCAAACGGTTTAGAATGAATTGTAACGTCAAGAAAATATAAAAATCTCTAGAATTTAACCAGGAATTAAAAACACTACTACTGATATTTAGGCCTACGCATTTTAAATCAAACTTCTTATTATTTTAGCATAAAAACTTATATTTAAGTCAATTTACTTCGTCCAGTTCCAAATACTACTTACTAATGTAAGACAGTATTATTATTTACAATTTTTAAAAGTACAATTTTAATTTACAATTATTTTTTTAGACTAATTAAAATAAAATTTATAATTCTAATTTATATTTATTGTCGAAATTGGCTGTCGAGAGCTTTTATAAACTGCGACTTTCTAATGGCAGCAGCTTCTCTTTGTATTTCTTCGTTATTATTAGAATTTAATTCCAGGAGTCCCATTAGCGATATCTGAATTTATAATTATTTAATTTATAAATTTATAAATATATTTTCAATTGTGATTAATTAATTTTGTACCAGATGAATTACTAATATTAATCGTAAATGCAAAAAAAAAAACTAAAAATTACTTTTCTACGATGGATAATGAAGCAACTACGAAATAAATACTCAAAATCAGTGCAGGCAAATGATTTTAAATGATGATGAATTGAATACTAAAAAATGATGATGATGGCCCATACAATGTCCCAGACATTATAAATAATCTACACAAAAATGTTGATGAGGTTCCATACATATTATATGCACTACAGAGAAACGTCAATACTTTCAATTAATGAATTTGCACTGACATAAAATTGTATGAAGAAACGTTCCAGAACTCAAAATCATCAGGGAGAAAAGTAATTTTGTTAGTAAAATGGATTAACAAAAATTTTGTTATTTGAAGTTTTTAGTTTTTCATTCATTTTCTTTAATATAATTATGTTTTATTAGCATTTTAGAGTAATTTTTTGAAGAGAGCCTTTCAAATTCAACTAATTTTGAAAATTATAAATTCGTAGTTTAACAAATCGTCCTAATTCCAGAAAATTTGGAAAAAATGTGTCATTATTTTGGACTGTTGATTCTAGAAATGTTTTTACGTTTCAAAACCTTCATTGAACTAAAATAATAAAAATTAATACCATAACCAAAAAATGGTTACAGTTTGACTCTTGCATTGATTTTATCCTAGATTTCTCAATATTGAATATTGATGGAAATGATCAACATATTTTAATTATCATAAATTAATGAAATCATATAAAATAATATAGTGAGAAAAATGAGAACAAGATGCTATTTAACCATTATGCAAATAAACTTTAATGCCATAAAAAATTATTAAGAAAATCCGAGAAAATTTCAATAAATTTAAGCGTCGTTATTAAAATGTGTTTTCTTAACAGAAATTCAATTTTATATCCATTTCATATCGAAAAAACTTTATGATACCCATTATTCACGATCATTCTATTTCAACAAAATTCAGAAAAAAAAAATTATAATAAATATTTTCTTTTAATCAATTTTATTAAAACGGCATTTCCAAAACGTAGATAATTTTTTCAGACATTTCTAAGTAGCTAGTTTTTATATATTATAAGAAATTATATCGTTTTAAATTTTATATTAGACATATGAATGTAAAAAATATATTTTAGTACAATTCTAGGGCAAAGAACTTTCTACTTGCGTAAAAATAAACTTTAATAAATAGTTTGAAAAATATATATCTAGTTTTAACACGTGTTAAACAAAACAGAATCATTATATTTTATTATAAATTTATATTTTGCAATCCCGATAATTATTATTATTCATTTTATATATATTACATTGTAAAAAGTAAATTTGTGTGGGTAAAAAAAGTTAAATTTTATAACAAATTTCGGACGAACAACTTTTACTCATTGTTTTTCCGAACAACTTATGTTTTGAAAAAAAATATCTACATTTTACAATTCCGATATTTATTAATAGTCATTTTTATATAATTTAAAAACGTAATAGTTTCAGGTTCCAGTTAAAAAAAATTAAACTATCCTCGAAAAAATAACACTTAACCCAAAAATTGACTATTCCCGAAAGTATAACACTTAACTGAAAATTTGATTGTTTTGTAGAATGAACCTTAATTCAAGCTTTAAAAAATTATTTAGATTTCAGATTTTATCAAAAAATCCAGAACAAATGTAACTAAAAAAATGCGAATTATGAAACTTTAGTAGTTTTAGTCAGTGATAAAAATAGTATTGATTAAAAATTGTAAAAAAAGGCATAATTAATTATTGACTAAGGTCAATTAATATCTACAAGCTCCAAAAAATATCAATATCTAATCATTGTAAAAGTTACTTATACAACTTTTAAATATATTAATGTTCAAATAAATTCCGCCGAATTTCTTACTCACAATTTTATGTGGGCCAAATAGAATTTTAATAAAAACGAATTTTAATAGTAACACCAACATCAAAATCTTTAATATGATAATAATAAAAAAATTAAGAAAAAAATATGAATAACAAAAGATAAACGTGCAAAAATGAATCCCAAATATAAAAAAATAATAAAACTTACCGCTTGCTGACGTCTTTTACTCTCTCCACGTTTATGATGCAAATTTACAATAAATTCTAATAAGGCAGGATCCCAAATAAATGCATAATATGCATCCATTGCATCGAAAGATGTACTTTTCTCAGAAAGGCTTTTGAAAGCTAATACGTAGTCGGTTTCTTCCAAAAACTGAAATAGAAAAAAAAAGAAATAAAATAAAATAAATTAAATAAAATACTGACACTAATTATACTTAATACAACTAATTTTAACCTGCATTAAAAAATGTGAGCAATTAAACTTTTTATCATACCAAAGAATCCAAAAGTGTGTTCGAGAACTAAAAGAACTAAAAATTGGCTAATACCTATTTTTTATGTCCCATTTTCTATAAAGCCAAATAAAAAAATATGTATGACCCTGAATTTTCACCCTCCTAACACCAATTTCCATTCATTCTAGTAATCAAATCATTTTTTTGTTCTGCTTGATAACTACTATTTAATTGTCATTTTGGTGAATGTTTCCCTGTTTATTTCTATTAAAGATTTTTTGATATGAGATTGACCCCGTGGGTTAAGTTATTGTAATCGTCCAAAAATCGAAATTGAAAATTTTTACATTTCTTCACGTTTTGAAAGTTTCTGAACATTTTGGCATAACTCAGAAAAAATGAATATGTGTGTGTGTATGTATGTATAGATACCATTTTTCGTCCACGTTTTCGGGAGCACAGATCAACCAATTTGAATCGTTCAAAAAACATTCGATTCCTATTGATAGGGAGACGTAATAATTAGTTTTTGGCAAAGGCAGGTCCAGCTGTTACGAAGTTACGGAGCAAAGAGTGCAGAAAATAGAAATCGAGTTTTTGAGAGAACGGAGTATCGGATTTGAATGATTTAACAAACATTCAATTTGTAATGATAGGGATTGGTGATTGGTTTTTGGAAAAGGCAGGTCCAGCCGTTTCGGAGATACCGAGCTAAATGTGCAAATAATGGGCAAAAGTTTTTGAGAGAACTAAACATCCGATTTGAATGATTCAAAAAACTTTCTGCTTGTGTTGATGATTTTAATTTCCAAAAAAAAGAATTTAATATCGACAATAATTCGGATTTTCAAAATTATAATTCGGTACGGAAAGTTCCAATAATTTGCCTCAAGACTCAATAAATCTAAAAAAAGCATCTAATAATTTTTCTAAGCTTATGCTATAATTTTTCTCCAAAAAACCTCCAAATTTATGTTCTCTAAAGTATGAGGTCAGTTATTCCTGATATTTTTTGTGTTTTAAGTAAAACTTCTTTAATTTGTCACCAATTTTTCTAGATCTATTAATCTTCCTAGCTAAACTGGTAACTTCTTAAAAAAATTTAGATTTTTCTAACATAAAATATTGACTTAAGACTTAAGTTCATATAAACTTAATCATTTCATCAATTTTGTAATAATTTTTGAAAAGAAAATATAGAATTCTTTGAACATGTTTGTTTTTATATAAAAATAATGCAGTGAACCCTATATACGAAATAAGAACAAATCTTTGTGTATAATATTTTTCACAAAATAATAATACCTCACATTCTTTTATTATTTCCTTTTAGAGAATTAATTATACATCTGGTAGTTTGATTAGCATACTATTACTTTTACACAATTATAAAATCATAGTCGTGTAAAAATTATAATATGATACAAATAATTTTTTAGCTGGTTGTATACCATTGAAAGAGCTCATTTACGGGTAAACATTATCGTATACAGAATATAGAATACAAAATAGCATTATTTTGAGACATTATATACCTGGAAAGTCCTAAAACTGGCTGTGAGACGAGAAAAAGACCACTTCTTTCGACACAAATTTTTGTATTACTCAAAAATCTCAAGCAAATATCTGCACAAGTTAACAGATTTAGTACCAGTTTAGGGAAGTCGGATATGACAAATCCTGTGAGACAACTCCACTCGGATTCACTCCGATGGAGGAGTTGTATCGGAGTGATAACTCCGGAGTGACTTACCCATCTCTAGTATGTATACTAAATATAGTTTACCTGGCACAAAACTGCTGCCTGAGTATTACATCCTAAACTACAGCAAGTTTTAATCATTCTCCTGATTAAAGTATCATCTATTAATGGCTTATTTAGAGGTAAAGTCATGTATTCTGAACCGACTATTATAGCTTCAATGTACTTTCTCATTGCTGACTCAAAATGTCCATAAACTGAAAAAGAAAATTAAAAATTAATAAAAATGAACTTTTTTGGCGATATATACCATGGTCTTATAGAACTTACTGAATTATTACGGCCTTGCGACAAGTAGTTCAATTTTAAAAATTCATCAAAGTTTGAGAAAATGAGTGGTTTTATTTGACGTTTGTTAAAATTAAAATTAGACGATTCACTTGGTATAATGATAGAGTACCTGGCCTTATTAAACATACTAAACCATTAAAGTCTTACGGAAACTGATTCAATTATAAAAATTGTTGATTTTTGAAAATTTGCTTTTAGAAAATACTCCGAGTTAACGTGTTGGTTCGTTTTCAATTATGTGTAAAAAAATCCACTCGGAAAACTTTAATCACTCATAAATTAATTTGTTTTTCATTGTTTAAGTCGATTATTTACACATATCGGGAAGTTCATGTAACTTGCCTCTAGACAAAATACCAATACCAACTAGTTTTATATAAATTTCTTACCAAAATCCAAATCTCCCTGCAACTTGATCCAGTTAGTATTATTAGGATAATATTTCACAGCCTCGTTGAGAACAGAACGTAAAGTTTCGCTGACTGTACGAGAATTGTAAGAATTTGAGCTAAAATAATATAATAATAGTAATAAAAAATTCTAATGATATTAAAAATTGAATAACATACTTACTTGCTAACCATTCCTGGCCATAACGATAAATATTCGACGTTTAGTTCCATATTTGGTTCATCTTTTAACAGATTGTGCAGTTTTGTTAACAAGGATATCACAACGGAGAATACTAAAATAAATAATATAAAAAACAAAAATAAATGTTTTTGTACAATAATAATTAATAAGGGTGCAACTAAAGTTTTTTGGTAAAAAATCTAAAATTTAGTCTTTATAGTTATGTAAAACAATCGGAGCAATTTTTATGGGACACAAAAGCAATACCATTTAGTTTTTACTAAAATAAATATTAAGAAACACTGAAGTAAATGGATAAAAATTGAACATAATCTAGTACGATATATTAGTTGCATTTTGGCAATTATAATTTCTAAAGTACATTTTTCTTATTAATAATTTAAAAAAACATTATTATTTATGTTCAAATCTTAGGTGAATTAATTTGTAAAATCTAGTTCATATGTGCACTATTCAATCTAAGATCAACTTGCTAAATATTCCATACCCAATGCCAAATAAATGAATTTTGACACGTGGTACAAAATTCTAACTCATTTTTTAATAAGTGGTAATATTTTTTTGTATTGTTTAATAATATAGTACAGTAAATCAAAATGTGACATACATAAGTTTAAAAAAACAATGTATATGTAATTTTGGACTTATTGCGTTATTTATCAAACTGAATTATATAATTTCATCTGCCAACATATACTGTTGACTGTATCTTATATTATTTTAATTTCTGGCACATCTCCGCTGCTTTTCGGCAATAATAATGTACAAATAACATTTTTCTTGTAAATTATATTCTAATATTATCTAGGCTCATAAATTCAAATTTCAAGTGATTTGACATTTCTAGCAAATGTTTTCAATTCAAACAATGATAAGTGTTCTTTGTAATTTTTGCTATTCATTTCCACAATATTACTATAGTTTTATCGTTCATTATATCTTGAAAATTTCCTTTGATAAGCTCTAAAAAGAGTTATCAAAATCTGAACAACCGTTTAGAAGAAGAATTATCAAATCATACAGCCGTACAGAAGAATTTTATATATAAGATATGTATTAATTTTTTACCTGTGGCATCTCTTAGTCTTGATAGAAAATTTAATAAATTCTCTTTATTTGCAGATATTGGAGAATCTCTATGCATCATATTTCCAGTATTACTTCTTTTGTTGGAAACTGTCCCAAAAAGTGGAAGCACTAAGGAAAAAATAAAAACAAATCACTTTAAACAATTCTAAGCATGAAAGTATATAATAAAATTATTAAAACTAATACTAAACACACATATATTGGTTAAGTTCTAATAACTAATAACTTGGATTTTGGCCAATTTTTATCTTATCTTTTGAAATTGAACGATAAACTATTATGAGTCATTATTTTATTAGTTATAATTATTATATTGTTAGGTTCATTATAACAATCATTTATAACTTTGCATTTATATATTAATTACAAGTTTATAAATAATTTCATGGTGAAAGACTATATAACCAATGCAGTCCAACACTTTGGTAATTCATTTGTGAAACATTGAAATTTTAGCTTCTCATTTTATGTAATTGTTTTGTTCAGGAGAGTCACCATAAGCAATAATAACTTTCAACAAATAAAATTTATTCTAAGTCGTCGCCTTAGAATTATAATTTTTGACTAACTATTACTACAACCACCAATCGTCTCCTAGGATGATTACCGTATGCCGTTGGCTTTAAAATATTATAAATTATAATTTATATTTTTTTTATTCTACTTACTTAAGTCCCAGGCGTCTCTATTAAGTTTTTTGCTGGCTTTATATTTGACAAGATCATTGGCAGCATGTGCCATGGCTCCAAAAATCTCTAAACTGCAATATTGGCGTTCCAATGACGCCAATGTATCCCAATCAGCCAAAGCCAATAGGGTAGCTGCTGCATATTCTTTTATCTGAAAAAAAGACAAATAAAATTTAATAGAAAAAAATAAATAAGTGAATTTAAAAAAAAATGCTATGACGTCATCGACGTATGCCTTAAATTGTTCAAAAATTCACATTTTTTAAAATTTTTATAAACGTAATATCAAAGGTCTCGTACATTCATCACGTGAGAATTTTAAGGGGGGTTGACAAAAATTCACATTTTTTTTTTAATTTTATAAACGTAATATCAAAGGCCACGTACATTCATCACGTGAGGATTTTAAGGGGTTTGACAAAAAATCACTTTTTTTTTTAATTTTATTAATTCAATATCTAAAACGGTTTAGATTAATCACGTGTGGTTTTTAGAGAGAGGGTTGACAAAAAATCACATTTTTTTAAAAAAATCCAAACATTTTCAAAAAAAAAAAAAAAAATTGTTTACGATATTTTCTCGTAATTAAAAATACACGTAGAATTCAGTGGTTACTGAACTGGGGAGGGGTAATTTTGAGTATCACCAAAAGGAGGGGGGTCAACAGAACCTCAAAAAATGATCACGTGATTAATGGGCGCCCCCTAAGTAAATAGCCATTTTTAGCTAATCAAGAACAACTTTACAATACTATATAAAAACAAATTTTACACATTTTTTCTATTTAAATTAATATATAACGCCGCAAATTTTAATATTATTAATTAGAATTACAACTAATCATACAAAATAATAAAAATAAAATTAAATTAATATGATTTTTGCAAAGATATATGTTAAGATTTTTGCAAAGATATACGTCAGAGCATTGAAAAATATATAATAAAAGTTTATGATAGCTAATGAACCCTCGGCGAGCAATCATAAAACTAGAAATATTGATAATATTTTAAAAATGTAAAATATAAAACTTGGTTAGTCCTGAACTGTGTGTTAGTCAAAGAATTCAAGAGAAGAGCTACAAATGTTCCAATTCTCATCGTAATGTATTCCAAATGAAACTATAATCTACTCAAGAAATTATTAAAAATTGGTTACATTTAATTATTAATTAGTAAATTTATTACTGACGTCTCTTCAATATATACATAACAAAAATATAAATATAAAATCATATAAAGTATTTCGATGGAAACTATATTTTTAAATGATTACATCACCAATAAATACATATTACAATAAACGATTTAATCCGCCAAAATATATCAAGCGCATATCATACTAGCGTCTATGGTCGTTCGCTTCTAAGCGAAAGCATCCAACAGCTGCGGTGTCCGAGTGGTTAAGGAGATGGACTTGAAATCCATTGGGCCCTGCCCGCGCAGGTTCGAATCCTGTCCGCAGCGAAAATATTTTTTTATCGAAATTTTTTAATTTATAGGTCAAAATTATATTTATGTCATTAGAAATGATATTACTTTTTACTAATTCTGAGAATTTTGGAAAATATTCGCGTAATAAAGATAAAAGTGCCGAGTCTAATCTGCGCGGTATTTTTTATTGCTATACAACTTTATGCACACATCTGTATATATGTAAATAAATTGAGATAATTTAACATGCTGATTTGCATTTTAACAACAAATTGTTTTATAGAATAGAATAAAATTTATTTAACA